TGAGGGACTAGTTTGCGTAGAAACAGACAGACGGACAGACAGACAGACAGACAGACAGACGAACAGGCGGACAGACGGACATGGCTAGATCGACTCGGCTGTTGATGCTGATCAAGAATATATATACTTTATAGGGTCGGAAACGTCTCCTTCACTGCGTTGCAAACTTCTGACTGAAATTATAATACCCTGCAAGGGTATAATAAACTTCTCATTGTGAGACCATACTGTCAATGAGCTGGCTAATACATTTTTCAATTACAATTTTCTTCATTAAACCCGTATTTTGTTATCGAGTATCTGGTATATTTTATGTAGATCTATCGATTATCGCGGCAATGAAGTAGCTAATGCATTATTCTAATGAATTAGAGCGCCATTTAGTCGTCTTGCTCGCACTTGTGTAAAACGCTATAGCGCTGTCAAATCTTTAATGAAGTCTCTAATTAATGCGGCAGTGTCATGCCCGTATGAGCGGTTAATTCGAAAAGGTAAAACAAAAAAAAAAACAAAAAACACAATCGTAGTTGCACCCGTGAATTTGATTTGGCGTTTGGTTGTAAATGTTTGTTGTTTTTGTCGCGTTTTTGAATTTATTTGAGTTAATTTTATTTTATTTGAATTTTTATAATTTATTTATTTGTCGTTCCTGTGTGGGAGGCAGAAAAATATGTTGTACAGTGGAACCCTGGTAACCGGACTTGGGTTGTAAGGGCGTACCAATATTAATGCGGCTGAAAAAATATTTTATATGGGCATGCATGCATATGGACATATACATAAGTGTGTGTGTAGGGCTTTTATTGCACAGTGGAGCTTCGAAGAGTGGACTGTATTAAGATTGGCGGAATAGCATAAATTATGTGTAGAAAAAAAATGGCACACAAAAAAATATCGCGGCAGCGGCGAACTGGTTGGCGGACAGGGAAATCTCGAAACAATTACTTTGCGGCTGCCTAATATTAATTATGCCTTTTTTTTCTTCACCACACAATTTCACTTTGAGAAGTGTATGTATGTACACCGAAGGAACGGAGAATCGGAAAAGGGCCAGGAATATGGCGACACACACAAAACGGAGACGGATAGAAAATTTCCACAAATTGAAGAGAATGGAGGAATGGAAATTCCTCAACTGCTGTTGTGTCAGGAAAACTCGGACTTGGAGTCGACACGGAAAATTAATCTTGCAGCATAGTGAACGAAATTTAATGTTCGGACCACTGCTGAAGATTGGCAGAGCGGGGGGGGAGACGGAATGCTCGTACTTATCTGGAGTATGGTGGAGAAAAAACGCCGAGAACTGCTGGTGGGGCGGAGTTGAAAAAAATTCGGAATCCAATAAATCCGGCACTGTAGGACCAAATGTTGGGGGCGGCGCTTCTTTCCTGATAAGTTTGTGGTATTAGTACACGAAAAATTCCCACGGCGCTAGCGTAAAGTGGAGCAGAAAAACAACGGGGGACGTCGTGGGTAAATTCAACGTAGGAGAGGTCAGCTTTATTTCGCTGCATACATAATACTGATTTTTCGTAAGCATAAGAACGCGCTCCCGCCCGCTTTACTTCGCTAAGCGAGAGCGGGAGAGCGGCAGCGGCCGATCGGAGTAGTCGGCAACGAAGCCCGAAGCCCGCGCTCAAGAGTGCGAAAGCGCTTAGCGCTGCGGGAGAGACGGGCGAGAGCTCAGCCAGCAGCGGCGGTACGATGGGCCGCGTACCTAAACAAATTCCTATTATATATCATTTTTCTCGCTAAAATTGTTTCACCTAGTCTTAAATTAATTGAGAAATTAAATATGTTAATTACCAATGAAGGCCTGGCAAAAATCCTCCATCTGAACCATCCCCGATGGTGCCGGCTGGGCAATGGGCACTATATTAGCCCGGACACGGGTAATGCATCGCTGCTTGCCCCGTCCGCGATAATACAGTGTCTAGCAAAGGCCACGGTTCAACTCCTTCTGCCCTTAAAAGCCTAAGGAAGTGAGCCGTTAGCCATTGGTGGAGGTGCCTGACAGAAGGCATAAAACGCAAGTGGGCGTCCCCCATTAAAGATACCATTCTGGAGGGTTTGAATGATAAAACCAGGGCTGGGATGTCAGCCCAAACGTCGATGGAAGGCGTGACCGCTACCACCGGCGGGCACGGGGGGGAGCAATCGCCTCAGCATGTCGTCAGCGGATACACCTCTGATGTGACGGGAGCAGGTCATGTCAGTTGCAACAAAAATCCTACGCATGGGGAAGTTGAGCCGCTCACGTAACATAGTCGATACAGACTCGGACCTTGAGAGCGTGCAGCTACTCCACCCACCGAAAGCAGGCACCAGCTCCCAGCGCAGGGACGGGCCAAAGCGGTCAAGCGAGGGAATGAAGGCCAAGGCGCTGTATAAGGCTGCCCTCCGCATCCAGGATCGGCTCCAGGAAAAAGCCGCCCTATCCCCAGAGCAGAAGGCAAAGCTTACCTGGGCTGAGGAGAAGCTTTACTTCGCCAAACTCCCCCACATGAGTTCGACTGGCGGATTCGCCAGCAAGGTGGAGGAGACGCTTGCCAACAAAAGGCAACGCTCAACCGAATGCGCCTCTATGGACGCACTGGGGAGCAAGCGGCAACGCGGGCCTAAGGAGGCAGGCCCTCTCCAAATGGCGAAAAAGCCCAAAAAACCGCAAAAGTCAGTGAGGTGACCAAACGACACTTGATCGTGGCCCTCATTGAGAGAAGCGATGAAGCCGGCAAAATGACCGCGGCGCAGTGGAAGATGGTGCATGCGGGGCTCGTTGAGTCATTGTACGCACGGGTGGAGGATGATCCCGAAGCTCCCATGCCCACCTTCGATGGCGCTGGGTGGCTAAGTGGGGTCAAAGTCCTAAAGTGTATGGATGACCCGACGAGAAAGTGGCTGACGAAAGTGGTCTGCCAGTTGGAGGCGCTGTAGGAGGGAGCCAAGCTAGAGGTGGTGGACCGGAAGCTAATCCCATCCACTCCAAAAGCGAAGGTACTCTTCCCCATCGCAATCCATGCGGACCGGGCGCTGAAGCTGCTGCAGCGTCAGAACCCGGAAATCCCAACCACGGAGTGGAAGGTTCTGCACGTAGCGGCCCCATCACCCAAGGAGGGGGGGGCAAAGTGCAGTCCTCCAGATAAACAAAGGGCAGAGGACATCCTTTATCCCAAATACAGGAAGATGACGTGGGGCATGGGTAGCGTATACCTACGCCTCAAAAAGCGCCACCCCGGGGATAAGGATGCTCACACCCTGAAGGCAGATGTGGTGGAGAAGGACCTAGGTCTGGAAACAATCGTGGATGCCGACCGGGAAATGACGCAGGATGAGTCCGACGAAAGAGATGACGGTGATCTGGCCGTAGTAGTCAACCCGTCGTATGGAGGTGAGCCCAGTACCCATGACACTCAGGGTGCTGCAGCTCAACCTCCATAAGAGCAAGGTCGCGTCGGCGGAACTCCTCAAAGCCATGGAGCAAGGATCCGCTGACATAGCTTTGGTCCAGGAGCCATAGATCGCCTCAGGCAATGCCATCGCCGGACTGAAGTCCGCAAACTACAATTTGCTCCCTCCACCAACGGTAAGCAGGAATAAAGCGCCGTACTTGTAGGGAAGGGTCTACACGCTAACCTTATGTCTCATTACAGCTCTGATGACCTGACCGTGGTGATGCTAGAGAGCGGGAAAAAGCGCCTTTTGGTAGCTTCCTGCTACATGGCACACGACAAGACGGCCCCACCAGAAGAACTCAAGAGCTTGGTAGAAGCCAGCCCGAAGGACCAGCAACTGCTCGTGGGTGCAGACGCCAACGCGCACCACTGCGTATGGGGGAGACCCGACATAAACGACAGAGATGGAGAGTCCTTGAGAGACCATCATTCTCAGATCATAAGTACATACGGTTCCAATTCGAACACTCTCCAAAACAATCAGTCTTCAGGAACCCCCGGAATACTAACTGGGGAAAGTTCAAGGAGTCTATCGCGACATGGCTCGCGATCTCCCGGGCATAGTAGAATTCGCGGAACACATAGAAAAGTCCCTAGAGACCCTCTCCAAAGAACTGCTGGATGCGTACCACGCATCATGCCCTATATCGGACACGAGAAAGAGGACCAGGACCCTGGTGGAATATGGACGCAACGCAAAAAACTCAAAGAATTCTTCAAAATCGCCAAGCAGGCGAAAGATGATATCATCAATAAGGAATACAAAGTCCTACTTAATCAAGAGATTCGAGAGGAAAGCACAAAAGATAACAGCTTATGCGGATGACATAAGCATAATTATCACGGGAGTCTGTCCATCGACCCTCAGCTCGATCATGGAAACAACACTCAGGGAGATATGTGAGTGGGCGGAGAGGGTAGGACCTAATATCAATGCGGATAAGACGGACCTTATTCTCTTCACCAAGAGATACAAGGTGCCGCAATGGATCCCCCCGAAAATCAACAAAACCAGGCTGACCCCTAAAACACAAGTCAAATACCTCGGCATTGTACTTGACGGCAAGCAGACGTGGAAGGCCAATGTAGTAGATAGGGTAAAAAAGGCCACCATAGCGCTATATGCATCCAAGAAGATGCTTAGCAGCACATGGGGCCTCCCACCCGCTCTAATGCATTGGGTCTACATATCGGTGATGCGTCCGAGTCTGCTGTATGGAGTCTTAGTGTGGTGGCAAGCCATGGAGAAGAAAACGTATAATAAGCTTATGGAGAGAACCCAGCGGCAGGCACTGCTCTGCTAGGGGTGCTGAGGTCAACCCCCACCAAAGCACTCGAAACCATAATCGGTATATATCCCCTAGATATCCAAGCGCAACTGACAGCAGGAAAGGCCGCACAACGTCTGGTTGCATCAGGAAACTGGTCGCTACAAGGTTTCGGGCACAGTTTAATTGGTCGAGACATGAGCAGTACATCTGACTACATGATCATCATTTTCTTAGTACAACGAAAGGGTCATATTACTGCTATTACTTGCCTACCAAAACAAAGATTACAAAGTAAATCTAACTAAAACCTAACAAAATGCCGGTAGATTGGTTCGGTTATGTGTACGCTGCCACGGTGGCCGCCGGCGGAGTCATGGGCTACGCCAAGGCGGGTTCCATTCCATCGCTGGGTGCTGGCCTGGCCTTTGGAGCCCTGCTCGGCTATGGCGCCCATCTGAATTCCCAGGACACACCGCGTCCATTGCTTCAACTGGGCACTTCCCTGTTTCTGGCCGGATTAATGGGCATGAGGTGGAACCGTTCCGGCAAACTCATGCCCGCCGGCATGGTCTGCATGCTATCCGTGGCCGCTCTGGTGAAGAATGTGGCTATATACAATCGGTACCTCCTTCCCGTGCCAGCAGGCCCAAGGGGTACATAAAGCCTTCCATGTTGGGAATATCCAAAATGCTGGACTTGTCTGGAGATTTTGTTAATACTTAATTTTCTTCATTTACACAACCATGATAATTGGTGTGGTCATTTAAATATCAACATTTGCTAATTGGAAACCTTGGTATAGCGCTGTGTCACTTTCAAAGCTAGCGATAAGATACTGTACTCGTTGGTCGACGAATAAATTTTATCATCTATGCTTTTATCATCTTGCTGGACTAAAAAAAAAAAAAAAAAAAAAAAAAAAAAAAACCCAGAACGTGCCCGGATGTAAACACAACAGTATTCAAGGGACCAAATGACTGGAAATCAAGCCAGGACCATGCTCAATACCTCAATATATATACCGACGCCTCCAAGATGGAAGGAGGAGTTGGAGCGGACATATACTGTTCAGACCCTGAAACGAGGCTGTCGTATAAGCTACCAAGCTACTGCAGTATATTCCAGGCGGAAGTATTTGCCATCAGAAAGCAGCAGAGCTTGCGCAGAGCATAAACCGTCAACATGAGGCTATGGGCCATATTGGCCTATGTGTGGCCCCTCGAGGTCCGTCCGTACTAACCTAACCTAATTACCAATGAATTGATTATTTAAATTGAAGATTAAAAAATTAACTGATAAGCTGATGTCTCTGCGGTCCTAGGGTGCACAAGGTGGTCAAAGGTAGGGTGGGCAGAATGCGAGCCCAATTACATCCAAGGCTTCGCAAGCAACAAATCTCTCTCTCGTTCTTTCACTTTCTTCTTGCTTCTCAAAACTTTATTTTTTTTTATATATTGTCGCATGCACGCTCAATTCTGATCCTATTAATACGTAGACAGTGTCAACATCTGTACGAGCAAGACCTCCACCCCCAAGCCGACGAGCTGGTGCCGGAATATATAGCGTGCCTAGAAAATTCAGATCCTTGGAAACATTCAAAGCATTTTGCACTTTAGTCGAACGTTACACGCTACTTGGCACGAGTGTTGCCGTGCGTATGTCCTCTGCGACCACAATCCCAACAGAAAAGAACTGGGCTTGCGACATGTGTATGAATGGTGTCCTTCCTGTGCACAATTCCTGCAAGCTAATCTGCAATTCGGCACCATCGAAATGTTTCCCACTCGAGAAACTAGTTGTGGGGCTGCGGCTGGTGTGGGTGGTCGTCTGGCTAGTCGCGCGACATTTTGGTGACTCGTTGGTGGTGCTCCTGCATACGCTGGGGTCTCGCGGTCATTTCGTCTCGGCGGTGGCTGAAACATTCTCGCATGGTTTCCCGTGTCTCGATCGCGAGTGACTTCCGCTAAGGCGGTAAGTTGCTCCAATGTCGTGAATTCGTGTCTCCTTATGAACAACTGGTACTCCGGGTGAAGATTTTCATAAATCCGCTCCAACTCCTGCTCCGGATTGTATCCCGCTTTCTGTATCATGAGTCTGATGTTCACTAGGTATTGTTTAAATGTCTCTCATTGTCGCTGATACCTGGTGCGGATCTCATCTTCGAGTCTCTGAAAGTACCGTGGTGGCTGTCAAGAGACCGGGGATAGCCTGCGGCATCTTCTCCGGTGGCTCGTTCCTCGAGGTGCTGGATAAATGTAATGGGGTCCGTTGTCCCATCGAAAAAATTTCGATAAGACGAGAAATTTATAGCGTGGGTCAAACGAAGCTCGAAAAGATTAAAATCTTCAGCGAAAATGTTTGTTATATTCAATACGAAATTAATAAATGCCCACGTGCAACGATGGTAACCACAATACTGTGTACGACAGCGATTTAATTTTTAAATTTTCTCGACGGTTATTTAGAAAAACTGTGTGTTCGTGGACTCGGGGACGGTTGTATAAGAACGATGCGATGCCGTTTACTGTACTCGTTCGATTGCTGCCTGCGTGTGTGTGTCTCACGTTATTTGCTGGCCACGTGATCTAATAACTATGATAACCCCTCGTTTTAGGTTATGTTTATGCCTTGCTTCTGAATGTATGTGTGGTGCTCTACTTGTGCCAGTTTCTCTCGAGGCTTGTATGCGTGTCTAGCTTAAATGTCTAAGTCGCTGATTTTGAGGTTACACACGTGCGATATGTCGCACACATATATATTTCTGATTCCTGTCCTAGATTCGAGTGTCCCTCGATATATATAGCTCTCATTACGTACCGACTTGAAAAATTTCGATCTTATGTGGCTGAGCCGAAAATTTCCGAACTCAGGGTACCCAGATGATTCTTTAGGCCATACATATGTAGTCTTAAATTCGTAAGCCCTATGTCCCTGCTCGGGCGCCATCTGTAAGGTAGTTCTAAGGCTGGGGTGAAGCTCAGTCACGCCAGGATCTCTCTCAGAAAAATTTATAAAGATCTGGGACAAAGGTCTTCGACGAGCGGTGGGCTGACGTGAGATGGCAAGTGTCAGCCACCGGGATGCTGAGTAAGAAACGGCTTTATTTCGGTACTTGCAAAAGGGCGAAAAGGGCAGCGGTAACGCGTATTGGGTCTGGCTCACGGCAGTCGGCACGAGGAGACCGAGAGGGGGATCGATTATGGGGACACTTTTCTAAGGGAAAAAATCTTCTATCTAGAACCTAGGCATCCGCCAGGTGAGATCGCAGCCGGCATTTATCTGTGCATTGAAATAATAGAGAAGTATTTATTTTAACATTTATTTTTGTGGCCGAGTTTTATTTTATTTCTCTCAGTGCAGGTTGGTTAGTGCGTTTCATGCTAGGGCGACAAAATGTTACAGAAAATATTCAGGATTGTTCATAAAAATATTTACAGATGTATATGCGTATAGAAAACAACCAGAAAGCTTTTGTTTTATTATACCCTTGCAGGGTATTATAATTTCAGTCAAAAGTTTGCAACGCAGTAAAGGAGACGTTTCCGACCCTATAAAGTATATATATTCTTGATCAGCATCAACAGCCGAGTCGATCTAGCCATGTCCGTCTGTCCGTCTGTCCGTTTCTACGCAATCTAGTCCCTCAGTTTTTAAGCTATCTGAATGAAACTTTGCATATAGTCTTCTATATTGTAACGCCCCAAATCTGGGGCACACCATTTTCTTCGCCAACTGCGTGCCGAGAGAGAGCTCGAAGTCACTTTTGTTTTATTATTATTATTATTGTTATTATTAGGTTAAGTTCATTTTTTCCTTGTAAATTTTAGTCATAATTCATTATAAAACTTATAAAACTAAACAAACTAAGCGGGAAATGTTATTATTAGTAGTGGAGAAACGAACCCCCAGAAACCAACTAGGTGGCAACTCCTGAACACTTCGTTAGCCAAGACGCGACCCGCGCAGAGACCCCCTGAACTTGCTATCGCACTACCCGTGATCGATAGGCCACTCGATAAGCGACCCGGCCGATCGATAAGCGCGACGCGTCGCTTAAGTGCGAGCACTAGTTTTTTCACCCTTGCTCTTCCGCTCTCGACGCATCTCACCGCAGAGTTAGCTCTCGTGCACCCGCGAATCCGTGCTCCGTCGCGCCACCACCACGCCCGATCGTGCGCTGTGACGCGAGCCGCCGCTGCAAAACGCCGGCCACGCGAGTTTGCCACACGTGTTTTCCCCCCTTCCACGCGCGCCAGATCGCGACAACCGCGTCGCCAGGAAGAGTCACGTAAGCACCTCTATCCTTTTACCTATTTATAAGGGCAGCAGCAGGCCCCGGCAGACAAAAAAATAATTATAATAAACCAAAATAAAAACCAAAGTGGAACGTAATTATTATTATTTCGTAGTTTGTGGTATCCTTTCTCTTCACACTTTTCCTTCACCTCGACCGAGACGGGCGCTTGTGTCTGGTTTCACACTCACAAGACGAAGCTTCGGCCGAGATTTCCTCCTCTTCTCCTTCCCCCTGCATGTTCCAACTAAAGTAAATCTCCCGTAGACTCCGAGTCCATCCGGAGTAGTAGATCTCCCGTAGACTCCGAGCCCATCCGGAGTAGTAGATTTTCCGTAGACTCCGAGTCCATCCGGAGTAGTAGATTTTCTGTAGACTCCGAGTCCATCCGGAGTAGTAGATTTTCCGTAGACTCCGAGTCCATCCGGGGTAGTAGATTTTTCCGTAGACTCCGAGTCCATCCGGAGTAGTAGCCTCCCCGCTTCCCCCCTCAGCCCCGATTCCGCTACCGTGAGTCGCTGCGACGACCCGCATACATTCTCGTTAGAAAGCGCCACCTAGTGGTCCGAGCCTTCTCACGACCAACACGCGTTTTTGGTCGACAACACCACCTAGCGGTGCGAGTTGGTAACTCACGATCGGCGTGACACCCGTCAGAGGGTGTTCGAAGTCCGAAGTTACGGACGATCGCCGTCCCCACCTCAACCGAATCTCACCTCCGCGGTGTGATCGGCCCTGGCCGGCAGACGGCGCTAACCGCGGTCACCCACCAGGGGCGCCAGCGACAATTTCTCTGAGTTTTGCCACCCGCCAGCCTCATTCGAAGCCTCATTCGTTCACCCGACAGGTGGTGTTGGAGGCCCACCCTTTTCACCGTCGGCTATACGGATGAGACAGTACAGTGGCTCTTGGCATTAAATCACGTAGTCCTGCGCCCGGATACGCAGCCTGCGACATCTTTCTCACGTTCCTACGTATGGTGCGCCTCGTTCCTGCATTCGGCTCCGGCCACCTTTCAGAGAGCGCTGGATAGCGTGATCGGGCCTGACCTCGATCCACACGCATTTGCGTACCTTCAGATGGTGTTGGAGGCCCACCCTTTTCACCGTCGGCTATACGGATGAGACAGTACAGTGGCTCTTGGCATTAAATCACGTAGTCCTGCGCCCGGATACGCAGCCTGCGACATCTTTCTCACGTTTCTACGTGTGGTGCGCCTCGTTCCTCGGTATTCTGCCACCCCCATACTATTCCTACAACAGGTCCTATCCCTCTAGATAAATTTTCTTGTATAGGTTCCTTGGCCCCGACTGAGATTTTATCCCGGCCAGAGAACATCGTGACAAGTGGCGCCCGAGTAGGGACCG